TGTGTGTGTGTGTGTGTATATATATATATATATGCATGTATGTAGAATTTCATGCCTGTATTGTACCATGTTCATGTGATCGGTAGCAGATATGTTATGCCTAGTGTTGTGTGGCAGGTGGCAGCACACATTGGCAGTGAACACCATGAAGTGAACTTCACACCTGAGGAGGGGATCTGTGCGCTGGAGGAAGTCATCGTTCACTTGGAGAGTTATGATATTACCACTGTGCGTGCCTCTGTCGGTGAGTACACAAGTTCGTCAAACTAAATGGAGAAAAAAATAATTGTTGCATTTAAACTAGTGGTGTCAAAATTAGCGCGTTAACGCAGGTGATTAATTTTTTCAGTTTAACGCGTTAAAAATATTTAACGCAATTAACTCAGGGGCAGGGCTAGGTTTGGCCACCCCACTCACAACTGCTAAAGAATTGCGTTTATTTGAGACGCAGAACGTCTTTACGACCACATCAAACAGGAGACTTTTCAGACTCGACACTCCAACTTCACTTCGGCACCAGGCTTGCTGAAGGGCACAGGTAGCAATATGACATTTATTATAATGGGTTTATGTGAAGATTGTTTTAAGTTCACTTAAATTAGAAGTTATTTTTAAAAGTCTAATACATGTTAAATTGATAGCTCTCAATTATACTGCAATGTTGAATGGCTATAATCAATGGTTAAATATTAGGGGAAAAAATCATAGAGACATCAGTTGGTATCAGTGATACTTGCCTTCAGTCATTAAACAAATATTAAAAATATACTTTATCTTTTTTCTGCATAATTTTGAAGATTGAATGTGAAATTATTGCAATATAAAAGAATAATTAAAGACTTTAATGTTAGGTGGGATTAATCGTGATTTTTAACGATTGACGGCACTAGTTTAACTTCCATCTGCATATATGATCATGTAGCTCAACTAGAGTGACCATCAGGTTCTTGGTCACCAGTCTAGACAAGGCCCTTCTCCATCAATTGCCCAGTTTGGCCAGGAGGCCAGCTCTAGGAAGAGTCCTGGTTGTTTCAAATTTCTTCCATTAAGGTTAACAGAGACTAAATGCTTCTGTGACCCTTCAATTAAGCAGAATTTTTTTCTGAACTCTTCCCCAGATATGTGGCTTGATGCAAACCTGTTTCTGAGCTCCACAGGCAGTTCTTTTGACCCAAGGGCTTGGTCTTTGCTCTGATATGCATTATCAGCTGTTAGACCTTTTATTAAGGCGTGTGTGCCTTTCCAAATCATACCTATTCAATTGAATTTGCCACAGGTTAACTTCACTCGAAGTGTAGTAACATCTACAAGCAATATGAATGCTCCTGAGCTAAATTTTAACTGTCCCAGATAAGGGTATGAATACTTATGCAATGAAATTAAGTTTTTTTTTTTTGTTTTTTTTTTTTATAAATTTGCAAAGATGTTAAAAACCATTTTTTTGCTCTAACATATGGAGTGTAGATTGATGTGGAAAAAAGGTAATTAAAAGCAGTTTAACATAAGGCAGCAATATAACAAAACGTGTGTGTGTGTGTGTGTGTGTGTGTGTGTGTGTGTGTGTGTGTATATATATATATATATGCATGTATGTAGAATTTCATGCCTGTATTGTACCATGTTCATGTGATCGGTAGCAGATATGTTATGCCTAGTGTTGTGTGGCAGGTGGCAGCACACATTGGCAGTGAACACCATGAAGTGAACTTCACACCTGAGGAGGGGATCTGTGCGCTGGAGGAAGTCATCGTTCACTTGGAGAGTTATGATATTACCACTGTGCGTGCCTCTGTCGGTGAGTACACAAGTTCGTCAAACTAAATGGAGAAAAAAATAATTGTTGCATTTAAACTAGTGGTGTCAAAATTAGCGCGTTAACGCAGGTGATTAATTTTTTCAGTTTAACGCGTTAAAAATATTTAACGCAATTAACTCAGGGGCAGGGCTAGGTTTGGCCACCCCACTCACAACTGCTAAAGAATTGCGTTTATTTGAGACGCAGAACGTCTTTACGACCACATCAAACAGGAGACTTTTCAGACTCGACACTCCAACTTCACTTCGGCACCAGGCTTGCTGAAGGGCACAGGTAGCAATATGACATTTATTATAATGGGTTTATGTGAAGATTGTTTTAAGTTCACTTAAATTAGAAGTTATTTTTAAAAGTCTAATACATGTTAAATTGATAGCTCTCAATTATACTGCAATGTTGAATGGCTATAATCAATGGTTAAATATTAGGGGAAAAAATCATAGAGACATCAGTTGGTATCAGTGATACTTGCCTTCAGTCATTAAACAAATATTAAAAATATACTTTATCTTTTTTCTGCATAATTTTGAAGATTGAATGTGAAATTATTGCAATATAAAAGAATAATTAAAGACTTTAATGTTAGGTGGGATTAATCGTGATTTTTAACGATTGACGGCACTAGTTTAAACCGATGATCAGTTCCTTCATTTAATAAATGTCTTTTTTGGAACACAACATGTGAAATTTATTTCTCCTTTGCTTCACCGAGGACGAAGTGGAATCCAGTCCGTCACATGTGGTTGCCACTCATTCGTCGCATCCGTTCTCGACCCCGCCGCCTCAGCGCACGCTAAGCCGGGGATTCCCCTCACACTAGGCCGCTGTGTTTTTCGTTGTGAAAGCGAAACTACTTTGTTTGGTCTTCCGAAAGAGGACACGTCTACAAATCAGTGGTATTTACAACACTGTTCCAGAACAGTTTAACCCAAATATTCAGATGTGTGCAGTGCATTTTATGGAGGACTGTATAAGTATAAAAAGTATAAAAAGACAGTATAAGTCATTATAATCAGTAATTATGTCCCCACTGGATGCAACAAAAGCCCCGTTTATAATGGGTTTTAATGTTTATGTCTCGTCGCTCTGGTCGGGACACGGCATCAACAGTATGTGAGGGGGGTAACATTTCCTTCACACACTTGAGGTATTCGGCCAATCACAACGCACTGGATAGCTGACCAATCAGAGC